ACTTTGCTGACGAGCTGCAAGAGACACTGCCCTGACCACGGCTGGGAATCACTTGGCCAGTGAAGAAAGTGAAAATGACGAATTTTTCGAGTTTCGCCTGGTTCCTAGAAACACAGACAACACACATTTGAAAAGATTTGAACATATTATTCGTGACCCTAAATAAGGGGAGGGGAGGGGGAAGGGGTGTAACTGTAATTTCTTACAAGCGGGCATGATTTGAGTGTCCGTAATAGTCTAACGGGGCTGTCCGTAATATCAGGGTGTCCGTAGGGAGAGAGAGTTAACTATAGAATGTATTATAAAATATACTCACATTAAGAGAAATCATTCTAAGATCTCGAATCATGAGATCACCTCGAGCAGTTTCAGACTCCATTGTGACCTCGTACACACCAAACCTTGCCGTGTCGTGCACAACWGGTAGGTATTTAGGATAAATATCCTAATACAAAAATATATGAAATTWAAAACCATTAGGTAATATGCACGACGCCATTTTGTACAGCAAAGCATGATGGGATATATAAGGGACCGTTCATTAATTATGCCTGAGGGCGAGCTGGAAGAAAAGTAGGGTGGCTTTGAAAAAATAAACAGACAATGAAGGGGGATCTTTAATGACATTTGCTGAAATGAAGGGGGGTTGAAACACAAAATTAAAGTATGTGTAATACATATCAATATTTTATTTTTATTTTTATACATTTCTTATCAATGCATGATCATTTTAAACAACTTTACTTTCTTTTTTAAAGAGGTCTAAGTACAWAAGCATGCATTCACTTTTTTGTGACTCTTTTTAAAGTTTAAGATKAACTATTTTACTTCGCTTTACAGTTCCTAGAATGCAAATCTATCGTTTCTGTAGGATAAAAACTGCCAGGAAGAGATATGTTTTTTTTCCTACTATAAAGTAATAAATGTAGTTCTTACCTTATTTAGTTCGTCCTTGGATATCAACATTACAACAGTTCGACAGTTTTCTTGCCAAATCATACGCCAAAAGTCAAAAATAGTAGATTCTACAGGGTACTGCGTGGCAATATAGGCTTCCCGTCGCCAGAAACCCTAAAAATATACAAATAAATAAAACTATAACGACCACATGACTGATATTTAAACTGTATCATTATAGGGGATGACATKACACTGGTGAAAAACGCACTGCGCATGTCCACTGTTCCCGCTAAATCTGCCTAATTTCCTTTGTAAAGCGTTTTTTGAGAAAGTTTTTTACAATTTATAAGCGCGTTCACCGATATATAAGATTCATATTTCCATCAATCATTGTTCATGATAGGTCCTTTTAGTTTGTAGTTTCTATTTTTATCTTGTCATTTCTATTTTGAGAAAATGAGGTTTTTCGTAGTGTTTTCTGTGTTGTCGCTGTAAATCGCCAGTCGCTCTGTTTACACTGAGATTTCAAGACGCGAGCGCCCACTGCCGGGAAAGCTGTGGACATGCACAGTGCGTTTTTCACCAGTGTCATAGGGGATGGCTTTCCACGCGTGATCTGTCGGGGCTCCCATTGAAAACAGATGTGCTTACAACTGATGGCACCACTCTGAGTTTTGTAWTAAATAAAGGTTTATTTATTCACTCGCAACAAATGAAAAATGTAAAACATCGCTTTAAAACTTAAACACTGGAAAAAATCGCGCACCATAAAGTTTGTAAATTTGATGTAAATATGATGTAAGTGTCCAAAATGATGTAAATTTGATGTCAATGATTTACATCAAATTTACATCATTTTGGACACTTACATCATATATACATCAAATTTACAACCTTWAAAGRGCGCGATTTTTTCCAGTGAAAMAGCAACAAAGAAAAACTCACATCTATGTAGCTAGCGTTGAYRTAGTCYGATCCTTCTTTTCCTGGTTTTGGATAAAGCTTGACGCGACAACTATCGACTGAACACAAATCATAGAATTAACAAGAACAGTTTATTCATTAAAGGGACATGGTCCACTAGCATGCAATGCGGTCGTGTTTTAGATGTTTCATATATGGAAAATGAGGTGACTTCGAATATCCATTTGCAATCCGTTTCCATCCATTGGTTTAACGGTGGAATCTTAAAGCATCTCCATTCATATATAGGATAAAGGAATAATAAAGAGTAAGTTTTTGCTTATATTACGATGTATTTCTATTTCCAAACATAAACAAAAGCTCGAAAGGGATGCTGGTGGACCATGTCCCTTTAAGATCACTCTAAATACAATTACAGATGAACCAGCCCTCGCAGTCAGTCTGCGACTATTTGAAGCGAGGGCGATAAAGAAAGAACAAAACTAGTATAAAAATATCAAAAATTTAGAGTTTTACAAGGGGAAAAAAGGAGAAAAAAAAGTGAGCGACTAAGAKGAAAAGCACGTTCAATAAACTAATTATTCCATAAACTAATTATTAACTAATTGTGCTCAATGAAAAATGGATAGCAAAGACAAGGCTCCCCCATAGGGGTAGCGTGAGGCAATTTGTGTCCGCTTTAATGAATACTTTACCTGGAATAACATTTGTATTTCTGTTTTTACTTATGTTACAGGTTTTCTGACCRTCTTTTACACTATAATCTTGTATCTTGATGCCTTTTAATCTCTTAATAAAGAAAGAAAGAAAAAAAAGCGAAGAATTAAAAAGAAAATGAAAAAAAAAACTAAATGAATGGATGAACAAATCATCAAAGAAGTTGAATAAAAAGATTAAAGAATGGATGAACAAACAAATTAATAAATGAATGGATAATTAAATGAATGAATGGACGAAAAAAAAAAACGAATAAAAGAATGAATGCATTAATCAACATATTAATAACTAATCAACATCAAAACCAATAGAAAATAAAAGAAAAATGCATATGAGCGAGCATCTAAWCTTGCGTGATCACCTCGAATTCTGCGGTGAGTTTATTTTTGCCAGAAGATTGYATTATTGTACGAAGTTTATGCAGGTGTTCATTGAGTGCTTTTTTGGGTAAAGATAGAAGAAAACCACACTGAATATACTCCAATATCACGTCATGGACAAAGATGTACTGGCACTGAAACATACAATACAACATTGTTAATAGACCACCAGATTCAACACGGCCAATGAGGAGAGAAATGGCTTGGGTCTAATTACAGAAATTAGTGTCTATTATGAAAGGTATTCAGACTCGCACAAAAAGCAGGCGCGTAGCGTGGACTTTTTTACTAGTACCCACATGTCAGGGACCGTGACACATATTTTGGATCTGGGGGTCTAACGACCGCCAAAGGTGGGATTATTAAGGGAGTCTGGACCTCCCCAAGGAAATTTTGAAATAATAACTCTTGGAAATGCGATTTCCAGCGTTTTGAGAGAAATCGTGGTCATAGAAAAGGGATCAATTTTATGTGAATTTTTCAGTAAAATTTTTGTAAAAAAAAAAAAATATTTCCTTGCCACTAGTACGCACGTGCGTGGTGCGTAAAGGACGCTACACGCCTGAAAAGTAAGTGATATATGATGTTTCTTCTGCAATTCTACACAGTTTAATAAGTCTTACCTCTTCTTGTACTAAATGATTTCGTTGCTGCCTTATTTGGCAAAGAAAATTGAAGATATCTATGTCTCCGTTCTCATGGATACGTTTGACCATGCTGTCAATCACTATGTAGGCACCGCTTCGGCCAACTCCGGCACTACAAGCGATAGAAAAGCCAATGATCATTGTCAATTATCTTCATCATCAACAATATCATCATCATCATCATCATCATCATCATCATAGTCGGAAGACAAAGAAATATCCCACATGTCCTAAAGCTTCATTTCCATTCTCGATATCGAATACGCATGCTCGATATGATTTCTGAGCTTATCCCACATGGACTAGTGCAAATTCGTTGGCATTTGAAATGAATTAAGGAGTGTTTCACCAATGGACAACAGAAAAGCTTTGGATAAAAATTAAAGATAGCAACACAGATACAGGCGCGTAGCGTGGACTTTTTGGCTAGTACGCACATGTCATGGACCGCGACACATATTTTGGGTCTGGGGGTGTAACGACCGCCAATTTTGAAATAATAAGTCTTGAAATGCGATTTCCAGCGTTTTGAGACACAAAGAGGGAATATAAAAGGAATCAATTTTATGTGAATTTTTCAGTAATTTCTGTGAAAATTTTAATGTTTGCTTGCCACTAGTACGCACGTGTGTATATGCGTAAAGGACCCTACGCGCCTGATATAAAGATTTTCTTATAATAGCATACCTGCAGTGTACGATCAAAGGTCCAGCCCCCTCTACTTGTGCTGCAGTAGATTTAAATATAAAGTCTAATACTGGTATTTCATATCCAGGATCAGGCACACCATGATCTGGCCATCCTGTGAAGTGGTATTGTTGGACTATCATTGGTTTGATTGCTTCATCTGTAGTATCCTAGAGAAAAAAAAAAAAACAATAAAATAAATATCTACCATAAAATGTCTAATGTTGCCTTATGTACTTAGGCAATTTGGAACTGGGCTGGATTCCAGATCGTATGACTTCAAATCCAGATCCAAACCACTCAGATTCCAAATTCTAGTCAATTCAGTGACTGAGATTCTCCTTTCATCTATCTGTCTTTAAATTTTTAAATTCTTTATATTAATCATTAAAACACGTGGATTCCAGATATCAGGATTTTGGAGTGCATTCTAAAATTATATTTTTCTTGGTTTACAGACTCTGGATGACTTAAAACTGAGGAATTATCAGATTGTTTTATTTTCAAAATTTACGCTTTTTATCATTAACCCTTTAAATCTTCAAAAATTATAGCTGAAAATATGGGATTTTGTGAGTCTTACCCAACACGGTTTTCCATTCATTAGGGTGGCTGAGCCTTGCTTAAACTTTAATTGAATTTTAAGAGACGTTAGTATTATATTTATTACTAACAATTAAAGTTATTATTTTAATAACATTTCTTTAAACTTATTTGAAAATAGAGTGAATTAATGACAATTGATAGTCAGAAAATTAAGAACTTAGGATTGTCACGACAAAAAATATTATTTGGATATTATTAAACATCGTTTAAATTATTGGATTTTGGCAAGCTTCCTTGGCAGGGAATCTTAGCCAAAAGCATACTGTGGAAAGTGGTAGAGGGTTACTGCATGATGAGTTTTACTATGATATTATAATTTCTAAAACTATTTGACTTTAAAAATTTACTTTTAAACTGTTATCAAAAGATAAAAAAAAACACCAACTTTAGAAATAATATGTCAACATTTTGACTTCTGCGCAGAGTAATGTACATGCCAAAGAATGAGTCAAGAGGAAGAGAATCATACATGTAACAGAAGAATGCAATGAAAAGTGGAGTAAAGGGAATTGAATGAAAAATAGTAGAGAAAAAAGTAACAGAATAGGACAAAATGAAACCSGAGAAATGGGAAAAAGTAATTTTGAGCGAAAGTAGTTATGGAAAGAGAGAAAAATAAAAGGATAATGTACATACAGAGAATGGAAAAAGGGATTTATGTATTCAAGTAAAGGTAATCAGTGCCATTCAGCAATACCTGGGTGTAGTGAATGGATTCTTTAAGCAGTTTAACCTCAAACTCTCTTTGTGTATAGAAAGCAAAATGTTCCTCTCTTAAAAACGTTACTCTAAGTTGTCCATGATCTTGTACTTTTTTGTTCTTTGTTGGCCAATACTGGGCACATTTATGCTAACAAAAATAGAAATAATCATTTGATTTAAACATATGTTAAAAGGAAACATACGTGTATTCTAGGATTTTTATACCAAATAAGTAACTAAAGGTGCTTTCCATTTAGGCAGAACTGGCCGGCCAGTCCACTCTATTTAGAGGTATATAATGCTTTTTGTCAACATTTTTCAGTCATTTTGAGGTTTTCTATAGAATAATGGATAGAATTTGAAAATTTGAATTTCCTAACTAAATAGGAATGACATATAATGACATTTTCTCTGGGTCTGGCCAGCCAGTTCTGACAAATGGAAAGCACACTAAGTCATGTGTTTATCTAGCAAACATACCCGTCCTTTCTCAATGATGTTAGTTATCATGACTATAACTCTTGAGTTCTGTTCCCAAACCATTCTCCAAAAGTCTGATATTGTATTAGCTAATGGTCCTATTGTCAGAAAGAAAGTCACTTCACTGAAAGTCGCTCCAATGRGGATGAAGCCAAACCAGGATAGGCTTAGAATAGTCTCCTTCACGGTTACCTGCGCCGTCTTGAAAGGTAGCCGTGCCTTTACATCAAAGCGAGACAACCGTTGAGAGTGTAATGGTACGTAGATACCTGTGAATATTGTATGTAGGTGCGAAAGGTTTCTATCATTGCACACTCTGAACGGTCGTCTTGCTTCAATGTAAAGGCACGGCTACCTTTCGCAACAGCGCAGGGAACTGTGAAGGAGACTATTGACACATACACAAAACAGATATACATGTAAAAATGTTTAACATTTTTAACATTACCTTGAGTTGCAATATAAAAATTCATTGCATTGTTACTCTGAAACAATAAATATCAAAATGTTATATCAATCTTAATTTTCTCAGTTTTTTATTCAAAAGTTGGATTTTTTTGTCTGTGAACACGGACTTGCAGTAATAAATGTTTCTAAAATTACAAATAAAATACTTACATCTACATAATTAGCGTTAATGTAATGGGATCCCTGTGCATTGTCAATCATGGAAAGAACAACCCTTGTCTGGTCATCTACATTCATAGTTCAAAAATGAAAAAAGTGAAAAAATGAGAATGAATGAAAATTGAAAAAAAGATGAAAGAATGAATAACAAGACATAACTAGCTTACATGCTACCACATTAGCAAATCTGTTTTTTGACTGGTTTTCAGGTCTTTGGGAATGAATCCAGGTCAATTTCTTGTTCTTTTCAATGATACCTTGAAGGGACTAAACAACAGCAACAATTAATTTACCAGTATCAATGTTTTCTTGTAGCATCAATAAAACTATATTATCATTATTTTTTAGTGTATTTCATCACAAAAGCGCAGTTGTCACAACTACGTGTACCAGTACCGCACATTACTGTGTGCAAGTAGAGCTTTTTTACCGAAAAATGTACCGAATTTACCCATGTATAAGCCGCTCTAGTAGATAAGCCGCACCCCGAGTTTTAGGGGCGTTTTTGAGGGCAAAAAAAATAATAATAAACTTTTCTGTTTTTTTTATCGCCACTTGCTAACACAGCTTTCTTTGATTTTAAAGTGCTTTTCCGCTGCTTGATTTCCGTGATCCAAATTAGCATCACGTTACCACAACAACTCCAAGACAAAACGATTCAAAATGCTCTCTGTTCATTGRCTCAATAACCACACACTTTTCAGTGAATTATTGACTGGTGTTTCTCAGGGCTAGATTTTCGGAGAATTTATAGTAATACTGAGAAGTTTGGATTAAAATTTCTGTTCTCGCCGTCCTGTCTGCAGTAAGTAGCACCGTGAATGCTAATTTATGCAAATTMGTTTTTATCAGGCATTTTTACAAGTCTTCTCGTAGATAAGCCGCACCCCTGATTTRGGAACGATTTTTTTGGAAAAAAAGTGTGGCTTATACATGGATAAATACGGTGCTTGTAGTTCATGGACACACAAAAATGCACTAAATGATGACAGTTCATTGTTGCATGTTGRGCAAGTTTTCTATTACCTCAAACTCGGAAGAGAACCTGTAGTTACTATCAGCATGTCGCAAAATGACATGATTCCAGAACCTTTCATAAGGAATGGCTTCTCTATCTCTCCTCTCTAAAATACAACACATTTTACATTTTACACATCATGACTGACGTACTTTGAATACGGTTACTTTGCATACCGTTACATACCTTTGTAGGATGAGACCCTTGACAAACTAGTTGGTGCTTCAATGTTGAAAAGSCCTTTGAAAGGCATTGTACAACACGTGTGATTATTCCAGTTCCTGCGATTAAAAAAGGACAACTGAGTTGACGGCCCATTTTCGACCAATTTTTAATATGTTCTTCTTCATTCCTTTTGCTTTCCCTTGTTTGATTTATCTTACTTATTTGTGCTTTATATTTATTCATTTATTTTGTAATTTGTACCTGCGCTTGATGATTAAGACAACCAAAACGATAAAGATAATGATAAGAAT